CCTGCAGGGGGCGCCGGCAACGGCCGGTTTTGCACGAGCCACTGCCCGCGTCCTGCACCGGGAACGCAAAGGGTCGCGTCCGCAACACTCAGGAGCTGCAGCGCGGCGGCGATCCTGTCCGCCGCCAAGACGCCCTCGACCTAAGAAGAAAAAATGCCTGAATGCGTGAAGAAGGCAAAGTAGTACGGCACCCGGTCTCCCTTCCTGGACACGTGGCGGCGTCTCTCCCGCGCTTTCCGCCGGCTCAACTCAGCACGGAGTCCGGGTTCAGTGGGTCGGGAGACCGACAGGGACTCCCGCGTGAGGCGCACCACCGCACGCTCAAACGGTCTCGCACAACAACTGCGCAGGCCCTATCGTGGGTATTTGAAAACGACAATGCCGCCACCGATGCCCCCAGGCCCACGACCCCGCCAAACTAGAATGTGGAGCATGCCACAAATGCACGCATGCTACTGGGCGGTAGTGGCTGCTGCTCGCGAGGATGGCTCATCTCCGCAGCGCCCTGCCTCTACATGGCCACGTCGTATAAATCAACAAGAAAGAATGAGAAATTTCAGTAACGTCTCCCGTAAGCTTGCGGAACGCCAGCAACGCAAATAAAGTGGATGGACAGCGAGAAGTAAGCGGCATCAAATAAAAAGAAAAAACAAAACAAAGCACAGAATAATCTTCTCAAGCAATGGCAAAATCCTAAGTTTCTCAATGATAGAAAACAAACACGGTAAAAATAAGAAAGGGAAGAATGAACCAAAAGCGGATTCACCATATCCTCAAACCTCAACACCTAGTAATTGCATGTTTATGTTTCTATATATTTATTTATTTATTTATTTATTTATTACTTACGAAGTGGAACGCTTTGGGCTCTTCCAACCACAAGACCCCGCCGCGAGCGGTGGGAATCAAAAGAGGGTGGATGGGATGGTAAAATAAAATAAAATAAAAATTACCTTTTCGCTATCAGTTCCATTATCCCCTCTTAAAGTCGTGTTCTTCCCAAAATTCACAAGATAGGAAAAGGTATCATAAAGAAGTGTATTCGTTTTCTTAGCACATATATATATATATATATATATATATTCAGTCAGCCAGCTTTCTCGAGATCATTCTCTTCAAAAGCCCCCCCCCCCCCCC